GAACTTCAGTCTTGGGACATTTTTGAATTTCTACAACATCATAACATCAAAAAATTACAAAAAAATGTCGAAAAAATAAATTTCCAAATTTGAATGCAGATTTATAGATAATTGCTCCAGAAACATTTAGAGGTATGCCACTTCAAATTCCGATTAAGATTAGTTGAGTTATGGACTTTGGAACTTCAGTCTTGGGACATTTTTGAATTTCTACAACATCATAACATCAAAAAATTACAAAAAAATGTCGAAAAAATAAATTTCCAAATTTGAATGCAGATTTATAGATAATTGCTCCAGAAACATTTAGAGGTATGCCACTTCAAATTCCGATTAAGATAAGTTGAGTTATGGACTTTGGAACTTCAGCCTTGGGTCATTTTTGAATTTCTACAACATCATACATCAAAAAAATTACAAAATAATTTCGAAAAAAGAAATTTTCAAATTTGAATGCAGTTTTTTAGAGAATTGCTCCAGAAACATTTAGAGGTATGCCACTTCAAATTCCGATTAAGATTAGTTGAGTTATGGACTTTGGAACTTCAGTCTTGGGACATTTTTGAATTTCTACAACATCATAACATCAAAAAATTACAAAAAAATGTCGAAAAAATAAATTTCCAAATTTGAATGCAGTTTTTTAGAGAATTGCTCCAGAAACATTTAGAGGTATGCCACTTCAAATTCCGATTAAGATTAGTTGAGTTATGGACTTTGGAACTTCAGTCTTGGGACATTTTTGAATTTCTACAACATCATACATCAAAAAAATTACAAAATAATTTCGAAAAAAGAAATTTTCAAATTTGAATGCAGTTTTTTAGAGAATTGCTCCAGAAACATTTAGAGGTATGCCACTTCAAATTCCGATTAAGATTAGTTGAGTTATGGACTTTGGAACTTCAGTCTTGGGACATTTTTGAATTTCTACAACATCATAACATCAAAAAATTACAAAAAAATGTCGAAAAAATAAATTTCCAAATTTGAATGCAGTTTTTTAGAGAATTGCTCCAGAAACATTTAGAGGTATGCCACTTCAAATTCCGATTAAGATTAGTTGAGTTATGGACTTTGGAACTTCAGTCTTGGGACATTTTTGAATTTCTACAACATCATAACATCAAAAAATTACAAAAAAATGTCGAAAAAATAAATTTCCAAATTTGAATGCAGTTTTTTAGAGAATTGCTCCAGAAACATTTAGAGGTATGCCACTTCAAATTCCCATTAAGATTAGTTGAGTTATGGACTTTGGAACTTCAGCCTTGGGTCATTTTTGAATTTCTACAACATCATACATCAAAAAAATTACAAAATAATTTCGAAAAATGAAATTTTCAAATTTGAATGCAGTTTTTTAGAGAATTGCTCCAGAAACATTTAGAGGTATGCCACTTCAAATTCCGATTAAGATTAGTTGAGTTATGGACTTTGGAACTTCAGTCTTGGGACATTTTTGAATTTCTACAACATCATAACATCAAAAAATTACAAAAAAATGTCGAAAAAATAAATTTCCAAATTTGAATGCAGATTTATAGATAATTGCTCCAGAAACATTTAGAGGTATGCCACTTCAAATTCCGATTAAGATAAGTTGAGTTATGGACTTTGGAACTTCAGCCTTGGGTCATTTTTGAATTTCTACAACATCATACATCAAAAAAATTACAAAATAATTTCGAAAAAAGAAATTTTCAAATTTGAATGCAGTTTTTTAGAGAATTGCTCCAGAAACATTTAGAGGTATGCCACTTCAAATTCCGATTAAGATTAGTTGAGTTATGGACTTTGGAACTTCAGTCTTGGGACATTTTTGAATTTCTACAACATCACAACATCAAAAAATTACAAAAAAATGTCGAAAAAATAAATTTCCAAATTTGAATGCAGTTTTTTAGAGAATTGCTCCAGAAACATTTAGAGGTATGCCACTTCAAATTCCGATTAAGATTAGTTGAGTTATGGACTTTGGAACTTCAGTCTTGGGACATTTTTGAATTTCTACAACATCATAACATCAAAAAATTACAAAAAAATGTCGAAAAAATAAATTTCCAAATTTGAATGCAGTTTTTTAGAGAATTGCTCCAGAAACATTTAGAGGTATGCCACTTCAAATTCCGATTAAGATAAGTTGAGTTATGGACTTTGGAACTTCAGTCTTGGGACATTTTTGAATTTCTACAACATCATAACATCAAAAAATTACAAAAAAATGTCGAAAAAATAAATTTCCAAATTTGAATGCAGATTTATAGATAATTGCTCCAGAAACATTTAGAGGTATGCCACTTCAAATTCCGATTAAGATAAGTTGAGTTATGGACTTTGGAACTTCAGCCTTGGGTCATTTTTGAATTTCTACAACATCATACATCAAAAAAATTACAAAATAATTTCGAAAAAAGAAATTTTCAAATTTGAATGCAGTTTTTTAGAGAATTGCTCCAGAAACATTTAGAGGTATGCCACTTCAAATTCCGATTAAGATTAGTTGAGTTATGGACTTTGGAACTTCAGTCTTGGGACATTTTTGAATTTCTACAACATCATAACATCAAAAAATTACAAAAAAATGTCGAAAAAATAAATTTCCAAATTTGAATGCAGATTTATAGATAATTGCTCCAGAAACATTTAGAGGTATGCCACTTCAAATTCCGATTAAGATAAGTTGAGTTATGGACTTTGGAACTTCAGTCTTGGGACATTTTTGAATTTCTACAACATCATAACATCAAAAAATTACAAAAAAATGTCGAAAAAATAAATTTCCAAATTTGAATGCAGATTTATAGATAATTGCTCCAGAAACATTTAGAGGTATGCCACTTCAAATTCCGATTAAGATAAGTTGAGTTATGGACTTTGGAACTTCAGCCTTGGGTCATTTTTGAATTTCTACAACATCATACATCAAAAAAATTACAAAATAATTTCGAAAAAAGAAATTTTCAAATTTGAATGCAGTTTTTTAGAGAATTGCTCCAGAAACATTTAGAGGTATGCCACTTCAAATTCCGATTAAGATTAGTTGAGTTATGGACTTTGGAACTTCAGTCTTGGGACATTTTTGAATTTCTACAACATCATAACATCAAAAAATTACAAAAAAATGTCGAAAAAATAAATTTCCAAATTTGAATGCAGATTTATAGATAATTGCTCCAGAAACATTTAGAGGCATGCCACTTCAAAATCCGATTAGGATAAGTTGAGTTATGGAGTTTAGAACTTCTTCCTTGGAACATTTTTTAATTTTTGTGAATTTCTACAACATCACACATCAAAAATATTTAAAAAAAATTTTTTTTTTTATTTTTGAATTTGAATGCAGATTTTCAGAGAATTGCGACAGAAACATTTAGAGGTATGCCACTTCGAAATCCGATTAGGATAAGTTGAAAATATATTCGAAATATACCTTACAATATTCTCGTTTAGCAGTATTTAGGTCGTTATTTCCATTTGTTGCGTACTTCTGGTATATTCTGGAAGCGCTATCACCATGCTGGTGGTATTTTTTCACCCTGCTGCCACACTGTTTACGAAGAAGCTAGCAAAAACGGAGAGAATAAAAGCGTACTAGGATTTCGTGTGGAAAGGAAAAATGCTGTAGGCGCAGTGTAAAATGCATATATTGCAGATAAATCGCGTTTGTGAGATGCTTAAACGCGAATTCAACATCAACTCGGTGCAGAACTTCACGGTGCAATAACACAAATACGCGAATTATCGAATAAACTGAAGTGCAGTTGGCCAGTTGAGACTAACACCACAATAACAACAACAATAACAACAACAATAATATAACCTTGTGTTTTGTTTTTTTGTGGATCACAAAATAAATCGAGTTGCAAGTGGTGTAAACGTGATTAAATAATAATGGTTTAACAGGAAAACAAATTTATTGTGTGTGCGTAGTGACAACAATACAAACGCAGCGACCAATACAAGCGCACAGCTAGTTTTCATAATTACAAAAGTAACAGCGATAAATAATACAAGACAACAACGAAGAGTCTCAAAAAGTGCTGGAAAAACTTTGCGATAAGAAAAACAGGAACCTCCACATCGGCAGATCTCTTGAATGCTGCCGCACTTTGAAATCCAGAGACACAATGGTTTCGTTAATTGACACAATCGAAGCGGCGGCCGAGAAACAGAAGCAGTCCCAATCGGTGGCCACCAACTCCTCCTCATCCGCCTCCTCCTCGTTCTCGGCCTCCCCCACATCTTCGTCCGCTGGCTCTCCATCTCCTGGCGCCCCGAAATCCAATCTCACGGCCAGCGGCAAACCAAAGGAGAAACGAAGGTGAGTCACATGTATCTGTGCCTATACTACATGGTAATCCTCATGGATGCCCTCATCTATAATCCCAGCCCCTGATTAGATGTGCATACAACGCAGTTTCCCAGTGGGTATGCGGTATTTCGTTTATTTTTATGATCTGGAATCAGCATTTTGCTATAGCAATGAAACCCATTGCCAATTGGGAACCCTAAATGACAGACTCGTTGGCAAAGGGGACGCAACTGATGTCGATTTGCGATTTGCGAATTTGCGCACCCAGGTGCGTGAGCCAAAGGTGGGCATGGCCCGCCAACGAACTTCCACCTGTGGGAGCTTTGCCAACGATTTTGAACTCGTAATTGGGAGGGCATGTGGGTGCATTGGGCGTAGCTGATGTGTTATTACTGGGATCAGTAATAAATAAACATACGAAATATTCTTCTTTATCATATAGGCTATAATTAATATTAATTAATATATAATATATAATAATTAATAGTTAATATATATAGTTAATATATAATTAATATCCTTTTTATTAAAATTTTAATTTTTTCAAATTCAAATACTAAAGTCCCCATGTTCCAGTTCCACCGTTCCCAGTACCGACCAACGCATACGTGAGCAACCACCGCTAACTGGTTGCCGCGCTGGCCACACTGCCCAATTCGACCAAATGCAACACATCGACGTCGATTGTTATCGGTGCCAACTGTCATATCTAAGAAAGCGTAAGACGAAAAGAAGACGCCGCAGAAATTCGGTGATAAAAGATTGGAATTGCACGCGATCCGAACGAGCTAGAGCGAATCCGAAATGGGCAAGGAAAAGGCGGCCGCGTCTTACAGCATTGGCGACCTGGTGTTTGCCAAGGTGAAGGGCTATCCGCCGTGGCCGGCCAAAATCACCAAGAGCAACAACAACAAGAAATACAATGTTTACTTCTACGGCACGGGCGAAACGGCCAACATAAAAGTGGAGGATCTGTTCCCGTACGCGAACAACAAGGAGCGCTTCGCTACCGAGAAGATCATGAAGCGGGCCAAGTTCATCGAGGCCATCGACCAGATCGAGAGCGCCCTGCGCGGCGAGGACTCGGCGCCCATCGATTTGCTTGGCGGCGGCGCGGAGCCAGTTGCTCCGCCCGCATCTGGCGATGTCGTCAAGACGGAGCAGCTAAAAGAACCGGAGGCACCCACTGCTCCACCTGTCGCGCCAGCGGCCGAAAAGCCCAAAAAGGGCGGCAACCGTAAGACCAAGGCACCACCGCGCCATGTGGACGGCGACAGTGAAGCAGGCGCTGAAGCCGCCTCCACGGAAGTGGCTTCTCCTCCCGCCAAGCGGAGGGTTCCCACCGAGGGTCTGGCTACTGCCACAGCCACCACCGCTGCAAGTTCTGCTGCGGCACCCACATCCAGCAAGAAATCAGTTAAGAAATCGAAGCCCACGGCTGCAGTTACTCCAATTCAGAAACGTTCACGACCCGCCAATGTGAGTGTAATCAAATTAACCAAGTGCAACAATTCCACCTGGCATAGACCTAGTACAATTTCTGTCCTCAATTTACCCTACCTTGTTGTATATTAATTGATTTGCACTTCTGCCCTCACAGAACATCCGTAACGAGATGCTCATGGTGTACATGCCCACAGCCAAATGCTTGGGAATCGACATAAATTACAATAAGCCGGAAGCATTCGAGAACGCTGCTGCCGAGGAAGCCTGGATGGAGAACGCCCGCAAAGAAGCCATGGAGCTCAAACTAAAACTGGAAAGCGGGCAAATCGAACCAGAGTCCATGCCCGAGAGGATCGTGATAGAACCAACGCGCAGCGAGATACCAAAGCAGGAGGCTTTGCGATTCATCGAAGAGCTCATTGAGCACGAGGATGCCCTCTTCATGGAACGAGACTTCATCCAACTATCCCAGCAGCTGCGCGAGTGTTTGGGTCTGCGACGCGCCAATGTGGGCAAATGCCTGGAGATCCTCGAGCAGTTTAAGGAGGTGGAGCTCACCAAGTTGATGCTGCTGCGCAATCCGGAGTGCGTTGACATAATGCGACGACTGCGCCGATATGTGGGCAATTTGGAACTCTGGAAAATGGACTTGTCCGACGAGTTGGAGTTCAAGGAGAGGGCGCAAACCATTCGCAAAGTGTCCTCTGGCATATACGATGGCTTCAAAAGCCTCTTCAATCCGGAGCCTGATAGCGAGGACAACTTTTGGATCGACTTCTGCGAAAAGGTAAAAATCTACAAGACCTACACGAAAAATATCAACGAAAACCTTCGCGTCGGAATGAACGACCGCGGCTACAACAACCTGGTTCTTGCCAAGGAGGCCGCCACTTTAGCCGAATCGGCTCCACAGTAAAATGTTTGACGGCCATCTGTGCTACACCAACTGTATGATAAGGTAGGTTGGAATCCGCTGAGTTGAGCCAAATCTTCAAGACCCCCATTTTTCATTTTAGTTACTCCTAAGCGTTACAAGCCAGGCAACTTTAAGACCGTGTTCTGGATGACGAAGTTTTGATGAGCCGAGTGTGCTATTGCTTAATTTCTAGGATATTAATTCAATAAAATTCCTCACAGAACGTTACATCTGTTTGCCTGCCAGGTGCATATTGTGCAGCGCTCGGGATGGGAGTGTTTCGGTCGCATCCGCTTATTATTACCACCAGACTTAAAAAGCTTTTCAGCTTCGGACCCCTAAATATTAACTAAGTTTGTAGATGTTTTGAATAATAATGAATTAAATATAGATGGTACATACAAATCTCAACGGCTATTTCATTTTGTCGTTATCCTCTACATTGTAAACAACAATGATAACTTTAAATATAGAAAAAAATAATTTTGGAAGTTATATTCTTAGCTTAACATAGAGCTCCGGAATTCCTTTTCCTACCTAATCTATGGATAAGTCATCATTAGAAGGGGAACTTAGATGAGGTAGCTCTATTCCTAACATTGCCTTAAACTGTGAATGAGCAACTAGCTCTCCCTCGCGTCTCCTATTCCATCTGGCAGAATGGCGAACATGGCCTCCGATTCCGGCAGACAGGGCGAGTCGTAGATCTTGCAGATGCGGGTCTCGCCCTTGCCCTTGCGCAGATACAGTCGCGTGGTTGAGGAGTGGGCCATGATGTGCCCGCCAATGGGTTTTTTGGCATCAAACATGCCGGGTGCGCCGTCCAGCGAGGCAGTCACCTGATTGGTAATTACCACAGCTACTCCGAACTCATCGGCCAGCCGTTGGAGCATGCGCAGAAACAAGCCCAGATGGTTTTGTCTAGCGGCCAGCTCGCCGCGTCCTATATAATCCGATCGGTAGAGCGCCATTGCACTGTCCACAATCAGCAAAGCGTATCTGCGAGATACTTTACTATTAAATTATGTATACTAAGGGATGAGCTATCGTACCTGGACTCGAAAAGCATGCCCGCCGCCATCTGGATGAGCTTGGTCTGCTGATCGGAATTGTGGGCACGGGTGAAGGCCACATTGTCCAGCACCTCGGATTCATTCAGTTTGTATCTCTGCGCGATGGCAGCCAATCGCTCCGGACGGAAGGTGTTCTCGGTGTCGATGTACATGCACTTCCCCTCGCCGCCCTTTTGGCTGATGGGCAGCTGGCAGGTGACTGCCAGAGTGTGGCACAATTGGGTCTTCCCACAGCGGAACTCTCCGAAGATTTCGGTAATGGATCCCGTCTCAATGCCGCCACCCAGCAGTTTGTCCAGCTCCTTGGAGCCCGTGCTCAGCTGCACAACATCAGCACGCATTTGATAGAAGGTACGAGCACTGAGAAAGCCCAGAGGCACGAGTTTGTTGGCCTCCGTGATGATCTGTTCCACCTTGCCGCCGCCCAAGCCGGGAATAGCCATCAGTTGCTTCTTGGTGGCATTGGCCACAGACTCCACGGTGTGCAGACTGGCCTGCTGGAGCAGCTTGATGTCCTTTGCCGTAATGCTGCCGCCCTAGAAGGAGAATAATAAGGAATGTCCACAATCCTGGTCGAGATCGCACTACTACGTACCAGTAACTTGGCCACGCTGAGCGGACCCTCCTCCTCTTCCTCTTGCTGCTCCTGAACATTCGTTAGCTTCTCCATTTGACAGTTTCGAAGCACAATTTTCCTATTTGTTGTTTCGAGTTTCGTTTTTTAAATTGTTCGTCTTGCGTGAGAGAATTTCGTCAAAAGACTGCGCGGCGCGAAATTCACCGCAAAAGCAGTTAGCCATTCGCCCCGAACGCGGAGGATACGCATATCACTACGGTGGTCTCTGCTTAAAAGAGACGCATCATATCACCATGGCGAACCATTACTACTTCGACATTAAACTGTGAGTAGACAGATGTTCTGACCATAGAAAATAAATCTTTCAATTGAATAGTAAACTTCGGGATCCGGATGCGGTTGTTTTGACCCCAGCGCTATTTCGAAGCTGCGTCCTTGACGCCCTGGACAGTTTCTTCTGCGAGGAAAAGCCCACACTGGAGATCGTTAAGTTTAGCGCCCAGCAACATCGCGTTGTGTTTCGAGTGCCAGAGGAACTGCATGATATGACACGCATATCCATTGAACACATTAGTCACTACCAGCAAATACCCTGTCATTTTGAGATCTTGGAGACCTCCAAATCCTCGCTAGACTTTGAGAAAAGCATTGAGAAGACTCTCTCAGGGCTGTCCAGTAGTGAGGATTAGCGATATGGCCAATGCAATTTATACATTTTACTGTGATTTTACTGTGATCAGATTTTATTGCCATTCACAACGAATCAGATTGCTAACAGTGTTGGCTATCAAATGAGTATAAGAAGCTGAGCAAACACAGCAAGGGAAATCCATTTCAATGAAAGTGCATTTAAGATTACATTTGTTATGGCTTTCAAAATTTAATTTAAATCAATAATAAATCAATAATACATTTAAGAACAATAAGTCCGCACCTATTTACATCTATAAATAAATGGCTATATTTTTGGCTATATTTAATATACCTTTTGCTGTTATAAGCCGAATTGGCATCCCTAACGGCGCACAGCTGTTTGGGAAGCAGAAAGAAACAGTGAAAAAGGGGAGTAATTACATAAAAAACACACTGACCGGCAACTTTTGGACGCCTCTTCCCGAAGTTTCCGCCAAAAAAAAAGGCACTGGCATTTGCACCCAAAGCATGAGTGATTATCAATATCTGGATGTGAAGCTGTGAGTTCCGGGCTATAATTCCCACTCCGTAGAGCCCCATATTCCCCACGTGCGCACGTGCATCATGCGAGTATAATTAAGATAATGCACGTTTTTATTTGACAGGAAACTCCGCGATCCAGACTCCGTGACCTTGACGCCCGTATTCTTCTTTGGCTGCATCCACAGCTCCTTGGTTAGTATATTTGGCGAAATCGGTGGCCAGACCACACTGGACATTGTGAAGTTTAGCACTAGCCAAAAACGCTCCATTCTCCGGGTGCCAGAGAATTTTCTGGATCGCGTTCGCATAGCTATAGCCCTGATAGGATACTACCAGGAGGTGCCCTGCCATTTTCAGGTGCTTAGCACATCCCGCAAGCCCTTGGATTTCGAGGAATCGCCCGAGGAGTTCATAGCATTTAACTAGCTTAACATCATCAGGATGTCATTCTCTTACTGCAAGGAGTACGGCAAGGACAAGGTGATCTTCGTGACCAAGGAGGACCATGCCACACCCAGCACCATCGAGCTGCCGCCGCCAGAGAAGCCAGAGGGCGTGATCACCAAGGACGGCAAGATCAACTGGAGTTGTCCCTGTCTCGGCGGAATGGCCACCGGTCCCTGTGGCGTCGATTTCCGCGAGGCCTTCTCCTGCTTCCAGAACAGCACCGCCGATCCCAAGGGATCAGACTGCTACGATGCCTTCACCAAGATGCGCGACTGCTTCCAGAAGTACCCCACCGTGTACAACAAATCTGGCGGCGATGACGACGACGATGATGGCTTGAGCGAAGCCTTGGACACTGATGCCGCTTCAGTTGGTGGTCAGAACGCAGATCCGCTGGCGGATGTGGGCAACAATGGAGGCGGCGACGAGGTGCTGACCCCCAATAGCAGTTCGGTGGTGCCCAAGGTTTAGGGCGGAGTGCATACATATGTCGTACATTAAGATAAGACTTCGTACAAAATAAATAAAGCCTGTCTTGGCTGGTGGCCAGTCCGGGCAAAAAGTATTGATGAAAGAGCTGCTTTTTTCAATAAAATGTACTCGTATTTTAGTTAAATACTCGCTTTTGTGACATAGAAGCAAATAACGAAATAAAAGGATACAAAAATGAAATGTTTCTTTAAAATCTTCGTATTTAGCGGTATTTAGGCCGTTATTTCCATTTCCATTTGATGCGTACTTCTGGTATATTCTGAAAGCGCTATCACCATGCTGGTGGTATTTTTTCACCCTGCTGCCACACTGTTTACGAAGAAGCAAGCAAAGAAAACGGAGAAAATAAAAGCGTATTAAGATTTCGTGTGGAAAGGAAAAATGCTGTAGGCGCAGTGTAAAATGCATATATTGCAGATAAATCGCGTTTGTGAGATGCTTAAACGCGAATTCAACATCAAGTCGGTGCAGAACTTCAAGGTGCAATAACACAAATACCCGAATTATCGAATAAACCAAAGTGCAATTGGCCAGTTGAGACTACAACCACAATAAAAACAACAACAACAGCTATAGCAGTGAAATAATAATATAACCTTGTGTTTTGTTTTTTTGTGGATCACAAATCAGCATATATACACAAAATTAATCGAGTTGCAAGTGGTGTAAAAGTGGTTAAATAATAAAGGTTTAACAGGAAAACAAATTTATTGTGCGTGCGAGTGTGTGTGTGCGTAGTAACAACAATACAAACGCAGCGACTAATACAAGCGCACGGCTAGTTTTCATACATAGGAAAATAACGAAAGTAACAGCGATAAATAATACAAAACAACAACGAAGAGTCTCAAAAAGTGCTGGAAAAACTTTGCGATAAGAAAAACAGGAACCTCCACATCGGCAGATCTCTTGAATGCTGCCGCACTTTGAAATCCGGAGACACAATGGTTTCGTTAATTGACACAATCGAAGCGGCGGCCGAGAAACAGAAGCAGTCCCAATCGGCCACCAACTCCTCATCCGCCTCCTCCTCGTTCTCGGCCTCCCCCACATCTTCGTCCGCTGGCTCTCCATCTCCTGGCGCCCCGAAATCCAATCTCACGGCCAGCGGCAAACCAAAGGAGAAACGAAGGTGAGTCACATGGATCTGCCTATACTACATGGTAATCCGGATGCCCTCATCTATAATCCCAGCCCTTGATTGGATCTGCCTAGATCGCGCTTGCTTGCCCATTGCATAAGCAAGCGCCTGCTTTCTTTTTCGCCCGCTCTTCGTCGCGATATTCGTTGCCATCCGTCGCTTCTCGCGTTTCTTCTCAGTTTCCCAGTGGGTATGCGGCATTTCGTTTATTTTTATGATCTGGAATCAGAATTTTGCTGTAGCAATGGAACCCACTACTTATTTTCGATCACTGTACCCTTTACGACCTTACTTGTTGGGCTTTAAAGTCTCGAAATTTCATATTGTTAATCATTCTAGTAACTACCACCCTGGATTTTCTTTCGTATCTCATAGATGAGTCAAACTTACTTCCTGATTCTAACGCCACCATATACATAGTGCTTAAAACCTACGGGAGCGTATTTCAATTTTCTAATGAATTTGAATTCCTGCTTTGCTTGAATGTGTGAACTTCCCTCAATGGGCGTCACTAATTGACGAAACAGGGACTTGAATATAATGGAAAGCCAATCATTAATCACGCGTTCAACTAATTTTTGCATTCGCGGCAAATATTATACGATCGATGGCGACGGCGTATCCAACGGCCGAGACCCACGACCTTCAGGCATTCAAAGACAAAAGTCGAGACGAACCGAAATCGTTCAGTTTGCATTTGCATGGTCGGTTTCCGCGGTGGAATTTAATAACTAGGGGATATACGATAGACGAATAAGTGCCCGCTGTTGGGAGCAAAGAGGCTTGAAAACACTTGTTGCTCTCTTGAGAAAAGGTATATCCTCAAGGATATACCTCATAAGGCCAAGCCCCCAGTGGCTGCGATTTATTTTTAGACGGGTGCATTGTTCTCTTTTTTCCTTACGCACTGTCGGTTATTTTTAAGTGAGGCGAAAATCAAAAACACAATGAGGAAAACCTGTTGTGTTCGATAATGCGTGCCCCTTTGCTCCAAAAGCAACCCGTTTTTTCCTCGTGCTTCGGCTTTTTGGGCTTTGTTTGTTTTCGTTTTAGGCCCACGCCCCTCAGAAAACTTAAATTTATTTATTTTATAATCCCATAAAACGACAAGTTTATGTTTCACTCAAGACATTTACATTGGATTGAAACAAAGTTTCGCTTGGGCCTACGTGACGACCGTAAAGCTGAAGGAAAATAAGTGTGGAAAAACCGAAAAGCGGTTCTATAACCATTTTCAAAATGCGCTCTAGCTTCGATTAGACCCACTAACCGACAATTCGCGTTTTTCCATTTGTCTCAAACTGGTTCCAATATATTTTGCAGTGCGACGCATGCAAACAATTGACTTTGGTCGTTGGTAAATGAGAAATTTAATTCAATTGGCCGCCGTTAGAGAAAGCTTGGCAAACAAACTTATAATTGTCGTAAAATCACTCCTATTGCATTTTCCTTAACATTTTTGTATCTATCGAATATCGATTTTTTCGATTGTCCATCGCTAACCCCTTGCTTATCGATCGACGCTTTCGATTACAGCACTCCGATCTTGAACAGATCGTAACTGCAGCAACGGTGTGACCTCAATAAAAGTGAATTATTACAAGTTGACATGGAGGGAGGCAACAATCTGAATCAAGATTTTGTATGTTTATTCTTATTTTTAAATCATTTCTGCAAGCTGTTAGACTTGCGCCCAGCAGCTAATGAATAAACTTAAAAACAAGCCAGTAATAAATAAATTTCAATAGCAAGGCACATAAACGCACAAAAGTAAAACACGCTTACACACATTCCATACACACAAACATGTGTGTATTGTAAAATATTTAAATGATATGCCCTGTTGTTGTTATTGTTGTTGTTGCTGCTGGTATTGTTGTTATTGCTGTTTTTCGTCTGGCCACGACGACCTACTTTTTGCGCAATCGAACTAAAAATGTGACGATCCGGGGAGGATGGAAACGACCGAGGGGGTGTTATGGGGCTACTATATAGGGGGAAAGAGAAAGATGGATGGCATTGTATTCGAGTGTTAGGCCCGTGGAGTTATTGTTGGTTTTTTCTCGCTTTCCATGCTCACACTTTTGTTTTGCTACGGCGCACTGAAAGAAATACTGGCTAATCATATTTCAAACAATAAGATCGGAAGTTCAGTTGCTTGTTTTTCTTGGAAAGACATTTATTAGCCGCAATTTGTAATCCTTCCCTTTCCCAAATTCAATATATTTGTGTACCTTTTTTGTTTCTCTGTATGGAATTAAGCATGTTGCAGCGAGCGAGACGGATATAAGCAGCGCGAGGGAGACAGAGTGAAGGTAATACAGCTTCCGAATCTTTTTCGGCTGCTCAGTTGTGTATGGGCTCTATATGCATCGCATTCCGGGTAAATTATGATTCTGCAATTGCTGGCAGGGAAAGTTCAAATTTATATTTAAAGCGATAAATTGGAATCAGTCGCTGAAAATGGCTCACAAGTTTTCTGAACTGATTATCGCGGAACCTGTTTGGAAGGCACTTTTTGCGGGGAAATGTGAGGAAAAAATTACATTGAGAAGAACAAAGGAACTTCTTGCTTGAGAATGTATAACATCTTTACGATAATCTGTTGCAATAGCCATTGCTTTGGATTAAGTATTCTTTTCATTTTTTCACATACTATTTTGTGTGACTTTCTTGAATTTCTAGACCAAGTACATGGTTCAGTAAAGCGTACTATGCAAGACGTGGATGTGAAGGAGCCAGTGCAGGAAACTCTAATAAAGATCACTTGAAATATGAATCTGACCTGACCGATGAACCTCATCTACCTGACCACCAACTTGACTTTGTCGATCACCTTAGTAGCTCAACTCTTTCGACAAGTAATGGAGGGAGTTTACAATGCTGATGACTACTTTTATTCTTATTTGGATGAAATAGGTGGATGATAGACGTGTGTAGCATAAAAAAGTAAACATGGGGTTATCAGAGTAATTTCAGCTGACCCTGCCTGTTCCTTCGCCTTCTCCACGAGTTGATTACATTGCGATTTGATTACTTTTGGCTGGGCTGGGGAACTAGCTTCCCTTATCTCGTTTCACTTTCCGTGCTGTTTGCCAAATTAATTCAAATATTTAACTCTTATGCTTTAGTTCTTATCGGCCGGCTAGGGAAATCGTGGATAAATCTGAGAGTATTTAGCCATTCAAGCAGCTTTTCTTGCATCTTTTCTTACTGTGTTAAATCTTACTTTTGGTTAGTTTTAAAAATATTATAAGAATTGTTGATCATTTGATCATACCTAGTTTGGGCCCGAATTACGAGAGAGTGTTTGCACGGTGCAGAGTTTCTAAAATTATAACATGACAATTGGTGAGTCAGGGAAATGGGCGGAAAATGAGTCCTGGAGGCGCGGAAATTTTCCGACGGCGCTGCAAAGTAGGCTATATAGTACGGGTCAATTATCGGCTGAAGAGCGGCGGACTGACATAATTTATATGGCTCTAATTTGAATCCGCCACTCAGTTGGCTCGTCGTTATCGCCCCATTGGGCAGAACCGAAGCGCTGGCTCCCTGCCACCTGAATGCTTTTTGCGAGGCAGTCGGACCAGACTTTATCTTATCACTCCGGAGATCCGTCCGGAGCGCACTTGTCCGGATAGGCAAACTTATAGTCTGATAGCACACGAAACCTGAGTGGCGCTCCCGCTCTTTTGCGATTTTTCCAGTCGCCTCGCCTGCCCAGCTATAAATATGACGGCTTCGAGGTTATGGAACCTTTCGCTCATTTGGTGCTCGAACTCCCGTACGTCGTGTTCTACCAAAATATTGGGAGCAGTGAAGTTGTGGACAAAAAATTCAAACACTATCAGTGCTTATCGCACGCGTGTGTGTGTTCATCATCGATGGGCTTAGCCGGATTCCAGCGAAGCAAACGGCGCAATCAATGTTTAATTCCTT